GTTTCTTCTGGCGTTTTTCTTTGATTTTGACTCGATGAGCATCTAGCTACTTTTTGTTGGCTTGAAGGCCGCTCGGTTAACTTTGAATGTTTTTTTTTCTACTTTTGAGTGCTTCTCGGTTGTTTTTTCGAAATTGAGGTTTTCAATTTTCCCATAAAAGATTTTTTTTTCTATTTGTAAGTAGTATAACAATCCACCGGTGCTCCTTACTGGAGGCCTAAATCAGAGAAGGTTATCCGTGGGCCATCGCATATCCTTAATGTTGGCTCTTTTTTTTCGAAAAACCGTGAAATTGGTATCCCCGAAAAACCGTGAAAACGAAAATGGTGGAAATTTATCAAAAACATTTTGTAAACGTTCTTATCTTCATTCTGAACTTTCGACTATGAATATTGTGACATCGTGAGAGCAAAAATTTCCCATTATTCCGACCGTTTCAATTCATGATGATTTTTTTTCAATTTTTTTTTTTATAATTCACTCTTTAGTTTTGGAGAATAAGAAACAATTTTAAATTCAATCTATTTAATGCTCTTGAACAATCTGGGAATTCAGTTCTAAAGAATCATACCCTGGCGGATTTTCTTCGTTTAAAAATGCAATAAAACATGAAACTTCAAATATATAAAACCATGCAACAGATTTTATTGAAAAAAGAACAAGAATTTGTTCTAAGTAGAGACTTTATAGCTGACTAAAATTCTAAGTGCGTCTCTTTTCTCCTTTTTTGCTTCTGATGATTGGTGAACCGCAAGTTTCGCTTCTTAGATCGATCACCGCAGTGGTATCTTTTCCTCGGGGTCTTCTGGACAGCATAAACTAGATGTGTCTGAATGGTTTCAGATAAAATTCGGTACTGCCTGCTAAATTTTTATTTAATTACCGCTGACTCATAGTGTGTGATCCGCAACACTAAAACTCACTCAAGTTCGTTAAATGCGAGTCACTTGTTTCCTTAGTAAGGCTTCCCTCTCAATTACTTTCACTTACGATTGAAGCATAAAGTTATCCTCAAAAGCAGAGAAGCAAAACAATTGTGCAAAAGGAATTACTTGAATCGAAAGATGACAGTGCACTTTAATTGACAGCGACTGTTCGATTTCCCTGTTTTTTGGATTGAATGCTAATTTTTTTCAGTCAAAACGTCTGATTTTGAACGGCGATGCTTTACATTTTGCGAACCAAAACTTTTGTGCGTTTCGGGTGATTCCTTTTGCACAACACTTCTACCCAACTCCTAAACACGGATTGCGAGATTTTGGAATCATTTCTAAACTAGTATTGATAGACCAATTATATTTACGATGGAATATCACTATAAAATGTTTATAACTAACCAATAATATTTATCACTATAAAATATTTATAACTAACCAATCATATTCCATCTCTAACATTTACACTTATTTGTAAGTGCTGAAACTACTTATAGTTTCAGCACCAGAACAATTTCAATAAAATGGAACCAGATCTAAACTAGTATTCATCATTGGTTTTTATTATGACATTTTATCTCTATAGAAAATTAAATACTAACCAATAATACTCCATCAAACTAACAACCTTTTTATTTGCAAAGTGTTGAAACTACTTGTAGTTTCAACACCAGAACAATTTGAATTAAACTTAGAATAAAGTTGTTCTCATTCTGGAACTAACTCGCGCAAACCGTGTACACTAGATTTTTTGAGACTAGGAGAAATAAGAGTAGGATTAAGATTGGTATTAGACTACGAAGTTGCACGAATCTATCCGGCCGAAAATAAGATA